TATATATATATATATTTTAAGCTTTTGGCTAAGCAGATGTTTTAAAAAACAGATTTTATGTTAATTTATATCAATTTGTACTGTTAACCCTTACCTTACAAGATACAATTTGGTGCCTTATTCATACAAACGGAGAGTGACTAGATCCGTCAGTTTTTCACCGATTCAAAATGATTAAAAGAATCTCTAAAAATTCACCATACTTTCAAACATGTCTAAACCTCAGATATTGTTCCTTCTTTTATTTATGTAATTTTAATATTGTTGACAATGTTGACTCTTAAGTATTTATCATAATGTGAACATAATTTTAGACTAATTTATATCATTGCGTTGTGTCCAGATTTAAAAAAATCGTATTATATTGTAATCACATGTAATCCATTTCATATCAAACTGTTTCTGTAATCCATTTCATATCAACCGTTTTTATGTCATGAAGAAGTTCCAATTAGAAGATATGTTCACGGAGCAACTTAAATAAATTTCCGGAGGAGACTACTTCCTATAATCTGAAGAATTATCATCATCCTTTTATATTCAAACATGCGAGGAATTCATGAGTTTCAATATGATTAATAAATTGCGAGATTACCAGTATGCCTGTGGCACCAAGTTAAATTCTACTATCATAATAAAAATTAAAATCCAAGTAATACTATCTTTATCATTTAATTAATCCATTAAAAATGATAGTATTTTTAATTTTTATACAATGAAACCTAAGTATATGTATATCTAATTGACGTTCCTATTCCAATCTAAATGGTTTAAATTCCTCTTAAATGAAATAATTATATCACAATTTATTCGAAGACATTTTCTCTTCCAACTAAAATAGTGGTTATTTAATTCTCTTTCAAAACATTACACATAACGTTATCACAAAATTACGTTATCTTGCTTAATTTAACTATTACCACAAAAAGTTAAAGAATTAACCGTAAAAATAAAAAAATTTAACTTAAATAGAAAAATTTTCCATGTAAAAACACTTGGCGCTGCTAGATTTCGATAATAAGATAATAATAGTAAAATGAATGTAATAATTAGAAAAATAACATAAATAAGAAATTAAAAAATATGAATATTTAAAAAAATTAGAAAAATAACAAGCATTCTCAATGAGAATTAAAGTATCTAGGATGTGTATATGTGTGGTTGAGTTATATAGAGTCGTGTAAATTATGAACATTGTGAATGCTATTAAGTTTAAGTAAAAAAAATAGATTTATTCGAGAAATCACGTATACTTAGCGCCTTTTTTTATCTTTTTTAAAAAGATAAATCTTTATAAGAATATTTTTATAAGAATATAAATAAAAGATGTAAATATACACATTTATGAATATTTATGCGTGTTTATACATATTTATATATATTTATGCATAAACAATTTTTTATCGGGATGATATCATCTTTACCATGTTAATGAGTACTTTATATACTGTGTTCGTCGATAAGTATTAGATAGTGAATGTAACAGAAACTTTTGAAACATTGAAGAGAGTCAGTCGATCGCAAACTATACACTTTTGTATGTGAAATTTAAAATATGATGTCATGGATAAAGGAACGCATTTTGAACTGGTTTCAATCTCTGGTTTTAAGGACCATTAACGAAGTGCTTAAACACATGGCATTTATCATGGATGATAACAGACGTTATGCGAATAAACAGATTTTGAACAAAACAGAGGGACACTCAAAAGGGTATGTATTTTTAAAGAGAATTTGCAGACACACTGGCTTGGATGTCCATTTGTCTCATACCTTATATTTTATTTACGACAGGTTAGACAAAATGATTGAGATATTAAATTGGTGCGTGTATTTCGGTATTGTAGAAGTCACAGTTTATGTATGTATTTAGTATAGAGAACTTTAAATGTAGCAAAGAAGAAGTTGATAATCTTATGGACCTTATAAAGCAGAACTTCAAGGGTTTGTTAAAAGACAAGTGTGTGTGACATTTAGAATTTTTTAAATCAGGTATTACATCGCAGCATAATATAGATTTTGTTATTACATTACAATTTATATAAACAATTTCTAAGAAAAAATTGAAAGACGATGGAATGTGCATTCGTGTAATTGGTAATTTGTCCCTGATACCAGAAGATATATGTAAATTAATAGCTGAAGTTATAATTGTTACTGAAAATATTAATAATTGTTAGGGATAATAATAGAATGTTTATTAATTATGCTATTATTGCTTATACATGTAAGTATAATTACAATAAACTATATTTATGTTTACACTTGATTTTATATATTATGCTAAGCCTGCGTTTAGGAAGTGGGCTATCAGCGCAATCGCATCATCCGTTTCTCTGTTATCTTCTTGTTTTATGTCTCGTAAACAGTTAAAATAGAAAAACGCAATAGTGCTAACAGTATGCTCCCAGAACACAGCTTCTAATCCGATTTAAAAAGATCATTGATATATCAGTGTACTCTCTGGACAATTAGTTTCGTGACGTATATATAAAATGTTTAATATTTTATATAATTTTATACATTTATAGTTATATATATAGTTATATATTTTATATAAAAGAACTATTTTTGCTTCAACATTGAATAACTCGATGAAAAAAAATCGTACGGAGCTTCGTAAAAAAGTAAATTAAAGGTAAAGATTTACTCTTTTGAATGATGTAAATCGCATTTCTACCTGTAAAATGCTTTTTTAAACATCCCGATACGACAATTTTTGACGAAGTTGTATCTTGAAATTTGCCTATTTTTGCAGAGTGAACAGGTGTAGCGTTAATTTTGTTGCCCAGTGTATAACAAGATTTAATATTACCTTGAATAAATTTTATGCCAGTTAAAGATTGATTTATCTATGTCTATTCTGATGCGAGTGTATGTACTTTTTTGGACAAAATTGAAATTTTTAGCAGGATTCCCTTATGAGCTATCATTAACATGTGTTCAATAAGATTTTTTCAATTTGAAATTAATTTTAAATATTCTTCTTATCATTATTATCCTATCATTATTATCTTATCATTATTTGATCCAATGTTTTAAGACAACTTTCTTTTGTGTTTGGAGTGAATTATCATCTATCATTAATTTTTCTTCTTATTAATAAATATTTTTTATACGTAGTAATATTTTATATGTAGTTTAATGTTTTAACAGAATGTACAACATCAACAAATTTAATTGTGACTTCTCCTTAGACATGCAAAGGACAAAATTTTAATGCTTGTATTGCTGAAGAAGCCTCCAAAGAGAGTCGAAACGTTAAAAGATTATTGGATAAAAGTTCAAGAATTAGTTTTGCATACTAATTATCACGCCGACTCTCAATCGCCATGGTTTTTAATTTTTTTTTTTTAATTTGGAGAAGTCTATTGTGGAAGATTATTTCTGAGATATTTCTGAAAACTTTCGGTGCTGTGTGAATTTATTTAAGAATTATCTTAAATACAACAAGTGAATTATTAATTTCTCTAAAATAATGCGTCAAATTTTTTCTAAAATTATACGTAAGTAAATTCATTCGCTTAATTCGCTATAACCTCGTAACATTTTTTATAACTTAAAAGGGCTCCTTTCCCGAGAAAACATATTTCAAGCGGTTTAAGAAGAGGATAGAAAGATTGACTATTTTTAAATGACAAAATATCGTCGATCTTCTTGACTTCATCATCAATTGATAAATTGGCCGTTTCTTCAATTATGCTATCAAATGAGCTCCTTTCCGATAACGTGGATATTATATGTATCGACAATTTACATCGATCCTTACTATGTACATTTTCCTAAGAGATTTTATATGATAGAAGTACTATATTAACGTTTCAACTACTAAAGTTATTTTTCTCAACAGTTATATCTCATAAAATGATAATTTTATATTCAAGAGTAAATTGATTACCTTAAAAAAATTAAGTAATTGCTGCCGTGATATCGTCTTTAAGTAAGCCATTTCAATATTGTCTCGATCGAAGTTATATTGTTGGGTTTTAATCTCATACCAGTACAAGTCACACTTATCAGTCAAATTTTTTTCTTTTTCCAAAAGTAATACAGCTAAAGCATTCTTATTTTCTTCAAAGTGTTCTTCTGTCATAGTAGATATGTGATTCTGGAATGTAATTATTAGTAATATAAACTTCAATAAAAATATAGCCTTGTATTATCACATAAAAAATAAGGTAATATAATTGATATTGATATTATAAGATATTATATTATATTATAAGATTGATATTATAATTGATATTATAAGATATTGTGTGATAAATGTAAGAAAAGAAAATATAGTTCCATTAATTAGTGCATTAATATGTACTATTATTTTGTATACTGTTGGGAAATTTATAAATCGATTGTGTGTGTGTGTGTGTGTGTGTGGATTATTGGATATAACACATGTTATATATTCCAAACAGTTCACTCAAATCTTTGTTTGACTATTTAACATAAGATAAATGTGTTAGAAAACAACACGGACATTATGCATTAAAAAACGATTCTAAAAAAGGTACTTATAAACTTAATATTGACACACATTGTAAACAAAAGTATATTTTTTAGTATAATTGACATTTATGATATATTAAATTAACAAAAATTTCATTCGGACATCTTGGGATTTATTGGGTTTTAAAACACACATTGTAAACAAAAGTATATTTTTTAGTATAATTGACATTTATGAGATATTAAATTAACAAAAATTTCATTCAGTCATCTTGGGATTTATTGGGTTTTAAAACACATTGTTTTTACTTGTTGACTTACTCATAAATTATGTCATTTTGGCACTAAGAAACATTGAATATAAATTTAACAACATTTTTAAATAACATAATCATTACGTTAAATTAATCTTCAGATACGTTAAAAATTTCAACATAAACGGTTAACAAGAACATAAGTGGTTCCTAATACAAATACATAATATTTTTTACCATATAAGATATGATTATACTTACCAACATGGAGTCTAAAAATAAATTTATCCGTTTTTCGACATATTGCGGGTGTTTGTCACTTTCTACAACGATATGCAAGCCTTGTGCTACATACCATTGACTTGCATCACTAGATACTGTATAACCTAATTGTTCCTTATTTCTTAAAGTTTCATAGCAAGGTTCTTTAACAATTTGTGCTAAGAGCTGTAAGAGCATATTCGACTCTGTTGATTGTAAACCAGTTGGATAATATACCAATGTACAAGAATTTTTATGAATATTGCTTTCTACTTCAAACAGAAAGTGGCAACCTATAAAAACATATGACATATAGTTACAAATTGTTGCATACTGCATTATATAAACAATATTAATTTAAAATCTAATCTAATTTCTAAGATAAAAATTTTATTATAGATAAAAAAATGACTTCAATAACAAATAATTTTCTGTTACTTCTATTTAAATCTATTTTAATATAAAAAAGAAATATACTTCATATATTTTTTTTCTATATAAAATAGATTAGGTTGTTCATTTTTATATTTATAAATTTTTTCTACAATAAACCTAGCATTTATATGAAACTGTGAGAAAATAGAAATAATAAAATTTTTTATGTTGAAATTCTTTAACTGCCAATTGTACCAACATTACTTCAAACAAGGAACTTAAAATTCCTTTCCTTTCTACCTCTCTCTCGGCTTTAAAAAAATCCATGGAGTAGAAAGATTAAAGTATCCGGTCGTAAAAAAGGATCGATTCAAGCTTCGGAAAATCATTTTACGGAAGAACAGATCCGAGTAAAGCTATGATCGGAGAAACTATGAACTAGAAGATTTTATCAACAGTTTGTGTGCGCTCGCTAGTATCAGGTATTTGAAATATTGAGCCTATTCGTTCATTTACATTTTAATCCAATAGAATAACATTTTATATAAATTGGAATTTTCGTAACAAAAATAAAATGCATATATGTATACGTGTAATCCGTGCATATTATCATGTAGTTCAGACAATATTTTCAACTTTTCCATTAATATTCTCGATGTACATTTTTCCGTATTATGAAGCCGTATTATGAAACCGTATTATAAAGCCGTATTACGAAGCCGTATTATAAAGCCACTTTAAATTCTTGAGTTTGATCTCTTTTTTATTGCGCGAGTAAATTAAAGATAAGTAACGTTAGTGCAATCGACACGCATATTAATTTTTTGAAATTGTCATAAATGAAATTTGATCATATTATACGCTTACCATTTTCTAGTTTAATTTCACGGGGCAATATTAGTTGCTGTTCTAACAAGGGTATTATGTTGGGCACTCCAGTTGTCAACTTAGACTCAATTAGTTTAAGTATATCTGTAGCTTCCGTTACAGTCACATTACCATGTATTAAGCACTCGACGTGCACATTACAGAATAGCTGTGGTATAAACTGCTGGAGTCCCTCGACATTTAAATCTACCACAGAATAAATAATATCATCAGATATCTTAGAAATATTAAGTATATGTGCTGTATATCATTAATATGCGCCGTAATTGTGCTAAGAATTAAAAGAAATTTAAAAAAAAAGAGAAAAAAAATGATTTTTTACAAGTACACAAGTGTACAAAATAAAAGTACAAGTTCTCTTTTATGCTTACAGGTAGTAGCTTCCAGTAATTCTTCGTCGAGCCAAGTTTTCTTTGTTAATAGGTCCGTAAGATACCTGATAGCACGACGATCAGGCTTTTCAGCAGCTAAATTTTTCAAGTCCCTGATATACTGTAATAATTCTACATAAATAAGTACCTAATAAGTTACTTAATTAAAATAGAAATATTGATTGTATTTATTGTACGTACTTTTTCCTTTAAGATTTCATATCTCTTCGGATCAACTTTAAAATTTATCATTCGATCCATGATTTTTTCTAACAGCACACGTTGTTTGTCATCATAACCATCTATAGAGAGCTATAAAAAGAATTGATATTTCTTTTAAATTATGAATGTATTTTTATAAAACAGTAGATACACATTATTACATAGGAACAGAATTGAGCATATTTACAAATAACAAATTAGAAATAAATGATTTATGAATAAGCAATTTATGTATATATGTAAAATAACAATTGTTTTAAACATTATTAATGTTAATAACAAATTGAACAATAACTTATTCGAATAAACATTCAAATTTATTTAAATAATATACATTATGTTTTATCATTATTATATATATGTACTCACTGTTATACCATATTTAGAACTATTAAATTCCCAGTTTAAACCAGCTAAATGAGCAAGATATGTATATTTGTTAAGAGAATCACGAAACAGATAAGTAAATATACTAGTGTAATTGTAACTAAGGGGATCCATAGAAGCAAATGGACTATAATTAGAGACAAAACAAACATTGTGCATAAGTATAGAACATATTTTTTGTTATAAGAAATTATATTTAATTCTCATCTTTAAATAAGAATATTTTAAGAATCATAATTGCAAAATTAAGTTTTTTTTTTTAAGTAGTTTCAATAATAACTAATTTATTAATATTATTTAGGATGCACATTATGATATCTACTAATCTCATTATATTATTAATTAATAAAAAAATCATTTAAGTTACCGAGTTAACTTTTAAGTTTACAGAATATTTCAAAATTACATTTAAAAATATTTCAGTATTAGAATAGCAATATATCTTTCACAAATACATACCTGAAGAAATCGAAGATCATCTTAGCTTTAGGCACAAAAAATTCATCGTCTTTTTGATACCAAAGTCTTATAAATGATGTATCCTCCAAAATAATGGGAAACTTTTCAACAAAATTTTTTTGTTAATGTATATAATAATATGTAAATATAATCATAATGAGATCAAATACGATAGGGCAAAGGACCATGTACAAAAACAAGTCAAAGTCAAAATTATTGCATCTCATTTTTCTTATTTATATCACGATCTTTTAACTTTCTGTTGTGTAAACTAATCTTTAATAATAGGCATATATTTTTGTGAAGTTAGTACAGAAATATATATTTAAACTTCACATATATTATTATATAAAAATACATGTGTAAAAGAGACAGAATTTATTTTAAGTTATTCTAACATTAATTAAATTCTATTTCATATCAAATTTCACGGTATAGGTTACGCTGCATTTTGCTTTGAGTATCACAATGTGATCAAAAATTAATATTATAAAAAATGACATTTTTAATTACGTTAGTTTGTGGCTTGATATCAAATGCAGTTGCTATAAATTCATTCTTAAGAGGCAATTTCAAGTCGTCATTAGAACCAGGAGAATTCCATGTGTTCATTATTTCCTCGGATATTTTCACTTTCTTATATTTAGTGCCATACCAACTTTCAATTTCATCAGTTATATTTTCATATGCTTTTGCAGTTATATAAATCATAATATTTTGCGGGATCAAATATCCCATTATTTCTTCGATTAAGTCCGGCTGCCATTCAGAGCCCGCCGAACAAATTTCATTCATGAAAATTGTTTGCAACTCTTGAACATACCATTTCACATAAGTAAGAGGCGGAGACATTGTTCCAAATCGATACTGTATATTGTCAATATCTTGATATTCCTGCAAATGTACAAAATGCATTTCATAATTAATATAGGATATTGAAGTACAAAATGTCTAGTAAATTGCGATAGCACAATTTTCCGGACATTCTACATAAAATTATAATTTATTTCGTTATTTACATCGTAAAACCATTTGATTGGTCCTTTCAACCTAAGCATATTGATATATTGAAACACCAGTAGAACAACATCTTCAATATGCTTAATACCTTCTTCGGTCAAATCGACACGAATATTGAAAGTACTGAAGCCTCTGGCGAAATAATGTAAGCCGGCTGTAATAAAGTCATAACACCATCCTTTAGCTTCCAAAGCCGATAATAATGAGCCTTCTCCTTTATGTTCAAGCAAATAAGAAACGTAACGTTCGGGCTACATTGATAAATTAACAATAAATGTAAAAAATACATACGTACATTCACACACCACACATACACGCTCACGCATATGCACGCGTACTCACACACATATACAAGTATCCTATTTTAATTTTCCCAAGCAAATCTCGAAAAATATGAAAAATATTGAAAAATGTTTCAAATAAAAATTCATTTAAATTAATTTAAATGAATGTTAGTTCGACATCTTAACACTCGGAACTGTAAGAGCGCTTCGTATTTAACGTTTGAATATTTGAGTTCCATTTCCAATCAGAAAAATGGAACGGTTTCGAGAGGGATGTCTTTTGGTCAAGTTGTTTTTTTTCTAAATGGAGACATTAAAAAAATGTACAGATCGTCTTCATCTTTTTAAATGGAATTGTATGTTTTTCTATACAATATGATATTCTTCTAATTATTCTGCATATAAAAGTATTAAGGCAGTGATATCAAAAAAACCATTAGTTTACGAGTTAGTTAATATATATTTTATGTCAATATGTGCCAGAATAAAATGTAAAATATTTCATAATATCTCGTCCCCCTCAAAACCATTCCACTTTCATTTGAAACATTGTTTTATATCTTCCATATTTGGAAGTGCGTGGACGTGTGCGTGTGCGTGTGCGTGCGTGTGAGTATGTATATAAAACGACAAAAATATTGACCTTTTTTCGAACACTGGAACGAAGCAGCTCATTCTTATAATTTAGAACGCTAAATATGACTGCGATTTTTGAAATTGTACCAGCACGTCACATATTGTAATTATATTATTGTATAACAAAATATCTAAAAATAGTCCTTTCTTGCAACTTTAACTATCAATTTCTTAAAATTGTAATGTGATGCAACAATTTAAAAAGCGGATTCGTAATCGACCAAAAAATTATGGAAAATAACTGTTCTCGTTACAGTGTTTTGTCTCGTAATTATATTTAAGAAAAGAACTAATAATAAGACATAATATTCATTTAAAGTATCAAAGCCAATAAAAACGTATATTATATTACCGAAGACCGGTAATGTTGACGCATGTCTGGTAAAGGAAACGAAATGTCTAAATATCTTATATCCTTTATTGGAACAATGTACCACATAGTGCGGAAATGTTCATCCTTGAATGGATGTTCAGGCCATATTGGAACTTCAATTTCGTTGTTTCGTACCTCACAAAACAGATCCACTACCATATTTTCAAGTTCATCTAAACTCTCTAAGTAAAAAATTTATTTGTTAATATTATGTATAGTAACGTTTTCAGATGTTTTTATCATAAATAGATTCAATAAATTATCGTCGTACCTTTGCCACAAACACATAGTGACATAATATTTGCAGAATAATACTTTTCATAAAACTCTAACAGTTTATTTCGAACATTAATGCCCTTTTGTTTCGGTATTGTATCTAATGTTTCTCTATTTCCTATGTCGAATTTCGAAAATGGATGATCTGAGCTCGCAGTTGACCTGATTAATTGACAAAATCGCCACGAATCATCAGCTAAATTGTTCTCATATTCTGAATTTATAGTATTTACTACTAGCTCAGTCAAGTTCTCCGTAAAGAGAGGCGTCAAGAAAAATTGAGCAAAACGATCTAAAGCGCCTTTCAACATCTCGGTAGCTATATCGAAATAATAGATGGTGTGATCTAAATATGTTGTTCCATTACTTGTACCACCATTCTGTGACAGAAATTGATTAAAATCATTCTGTTGAGGATATTTTTTCGTTCCTAGGAACAACATATGCTCACAAAAATGTGCTATTCCAAGTAGATCATCTGGATCGCACATAGAGCCTGTAACACATATTTTATCTCTAAACTTTGAAATTAATAATTTGACAATTATTAATAAAAATATGTTAGTTCCATCACATTATAAAATATAATACAACAAAATCCAGTAAAAAATGTTAACAATATTAACAATATAAAGTAGTTAAGAAAAATATACATAGACGACAAAAAAAGTCAGAATATTGACTCGTGGCCTAAAGGCTTAGGACAATCGTACGGAATGCATGAGATTCGGGTTCAATTTTCTCCATATGTCTGCGGTCGATTTAAGCGCTTTCAGTACTTCTATTCTTATTTTACGTCTAAAGAATGGTAAACACAGAATGATGATTACAAGCACTTAAAGTGCGTGAGCGTACAAATCGACTGCAGTCTGTATTTGTTATAATTTATAAGATATACAAATCGATTTTATAAAAATATTCTTATGAAAATCGCTAGAAATATCGAGCAAAATAATATAATTACCTGCATTAATGTTCATTGCAGCAGCACTTTTATTAGTTGTTGGATTGCTTTTTAAATGAACTTTCATTTTATTAGTGAGTACTAAGTATCTATATGATGATGGGTCACTATATTCCCCTATCCTATCATCATATCGCTTTTCCACACGTTCAGTCGACATATTGGTCATCGAAGCAATAAATTCAGAAGTTTGATTTCTAAACATGAAGAAAATGCAAATAAAAATTTTAAGAATGCATGAATTTGTTAATCTATTATATCGCTATGAATCAATAATGTTGAAAAATATTCTAAAATTAGAGCGGAGCTATTCCGTTATTTTCAACTTCTAAGTGTAATACAAAATTAACGGCAACAAACAATATCTTTTTGCAGTAATGCTTATAACTCATACAATCATGGCTACTTGTTAAGAGCACAAGTATGATTTTTAAATATTAAGTATACGCTGCTCAGAAATATAAACAGTGTCATGAGAAATGAACGAAATATAGTTCCGCTGTGCTCTATATATTAAGTATGTATCTATAAATGTAACAAAATAGTATATAAACTTTTACATGGATTATGTAGTTAAGTTACCATAGTTTATTATTATTAAGACAAAATATTTTTTCTAGTCTCAGGCCAGGTTTTATCTTTTTCAGATTTCATTATTCCAAATCAAGTTTTCCTTCAATTTCCATTTATGTTGTAATTGTACAGGTGCAAAATAAAAATATGTTGTATGTTTTGTCTCTCATTTCCTTTTTTCATCATGTTTAAATGACAAATATAGGTAGGAAAATAACACAAAGTTGAAACAAAGAAAAACTTAACTGTAGATAATTGATAAAAAAAAATCAAATGATAACAACATATTACTAGAAAATAATTTTAGTTGATGGTTGTAATACTTTTCTTTACTTAATGTTGTCGATGTATTTATATGTACGTAGCAAATTTAAATTAAAAAATATAAACATTGTATTGCGTTAAGAAATTTTTTATGCTCGAATATGTAAACATACATAAATATGTAATATGAACATTCATATATACATAATTATACATTGGGTATATCTATATCTATCCATTTCGTACATTCCGGTTTTTTTTAAATAAAATTACTATTTAATATTTTGATAATATTCCGGGATTCGGACTATAGTTATGATGTGGCCAGTGCCATTGATCGACTCCAGTTATTCAAAAATTAAAGTCTTTATTTCCGAGCACGTTGTTTTACTCGACAAGAGCCAGAAGAGAAGTGTCGTTCACCTCTCTGAATTTTTTATTCGACTTTATACCAAGAGAAAACAATTTGTTTTCCGACTGTTCTAAAATGTTTCGACTTCTCGGTTTAAAATTACACGCGATCTAGCAGTTTATTTTTTTCGCGAGATGCAGCGGTTGCATCTCATTTCCCTAGCGGATTACAGCATGTGTGGTCTTGCGCTCGACTGCTTTGTCAGATTATTAGGTATATACTTCGATAATCAAATGCGATTTATCACGCGTCGTTGATTATTCTCGCTTTCGCTGCCGCTGTTTATGTTCGTCGGTATAACTGTCTCGAGTATATCTGTTGACCTTTTTTTTCTGGCTCGAACAACTAAGCGGCCTTCGCGTGAATTTAGCTGTCGGTATTTTTCACGGCGGGGATTCGTATGTGCTATTCTTTTACATAAAAGAAAAACTGTCGTTTATATTTAAATTGCAGCTAGTGACGATAAATTCGCTACAATATAATAAAAATAATAATAATAAAAAAACATAAAAAATAATTACCAGGGTAATTTTTCTATTATTTCTTTTAGAAAAAAACAAGAAATGTAAAAGAACTACTTATATAATTACATATAAAATTATACATAATTTTATATGATAGTTTCCAGAAGCAGATACGTTATATACATAAAAACATTCTCTCTCTCTCTCTCTCTCTCTCTCTCTCTCTCTCTCGCACGATGCTTCCATAATGAGAAAACAGCGTAATATTATTTCACACAAAGATCTTGTATTACCTCATAAAAGAAAAGAAAAGTGAAACTGATAAAGCCACTTGACGTCGTGTTGAGGACAATGAAATTTGAACGGAGTTGCTGACAGTCTCCCGACGTTGTCATGAAATCATGCATCGAAGGAGTCGTCATCAAAATTACCAATTGCGTCAAACCACTTCGATTTAATGACCGACGTAAATATTCGATATATGTTAATGTC